GTGGCTCAATGGGTTAAGCCTCTGTGTTCAGCTCGGGTCATGATCTCAGGGTCCTGGGATCGAGTTCCGCATCAGGCTCTCTGCTCAGCAGGGAGCCTGCTTCCCCCGCCCCTCTCTCTCTGCTTCTCTGCCTACTTGTGATCTCTCTTTGTCAAATAAACAAATAAAGTCTTTAAAAAATTTAATTAAAAAATAAAATCTTTTTATAAAATGTGAATCATTGGGGCGCCTGGGTGGCTCAGTGGGTTGAGGCCTCTGCCTTCGGCTCGGGTCATGATCTCAGGGTCCTGGGATCGAGCCCCGCATCAGGCTCTCTGCTCTGTGGGGATTCTGCTTCCTCCTCCCTCTCTCTCTCTCTCTCTCTCTCTCTGCCTGAATCTCTGCCTACTTGTGATCTCTGTCTGTCAAACTTGTGATCTCTGTCTGTCTGTCATTGGGACGCCGGGGTGGCTCAGTCGGTTAAGCCACTGCCTTTGGCTCAGGTCATGATCTCAGGGTCCCAGGACTGAGCCCCACATTGGGCTCCTTGCTCAGCGGAGAGCCTGCTTCTCTCTGTGCCTCTGCCTGCCTCTCTGCCTGCTTGTGCATGCTCTCTCTCTCCTCTCTCTGACAAATAAATAAATAAATAAAATCTTTAAAATGTGTATCATCATTTCTAGGGGAAGGAAGGCACTCCAAACAGTGCTGCATATGTGGGAAGCCCTGAAATGCTAGCTTTTTGCCCCGAGTTTCATAAAGCAAGTGCTGCAGTCTGTCTGCACATCTCCCCGCTGGGCACCCCCATCTGCCTCTCCTCCTTACCTTTCCTCAGCCCAGTGCCTCATTCTAGAATGCTCTTCTCTGCCCACCTACTCTTCCTCACCCTTCATGGGCCACTGACCTCCCATTTTGCTTTCAATGAGCCCTTGTTTGCCACTTCCTGCAGCATGACTCCGCCACTGGGCTAGATGGTGGGTGGGTGGGGCAAAGTGGGGGGGCAGGGGGTGCATTGGGGTAGATCAAGCCCTCCAGAGGCCACACATGGCACGGCTTCCCAAAGGGTTCATTATACTTGGCAAATTCATCCCTTCTTAATGGTACGACAACTACTCAGACCTGTCATGGAGAAGAAAACAAACCTGGCCAGGGATTTTGAAGATAAAACATACAAGTAGGAAGAATATTCAGAGAGGAAGTATCTTGGGCCCGGCTCCCGCTGCCCTGGGGGGTCTGCATTCCTTCTGCAGCGGAAGGGTTTGAGAAGCAGGGGTGAGCAGAAGGGGTGAGGCTCTGAAGGCAGGTGGAGGGAACCACTGCAGTGGGAGGTAACTGTCCTGGGCTCAGGGTCCCCGCAGTGAGGGTCTCTAACACGCGTGCTCTCTCCCTCCTGAGGACTCAGTGTCGATACCACTCCTTGTGGCCCCCACAACGTGGCCTCTGTATCACACTGTTTTTTGTTTTTTTTTTTTTAACTTTCCACACAGGTGGATCTTGTCCGTTCAGCTGGGGCACAGGTACAGGTAGGAAGCAGGTGTGCGGGCAATGCAGTGCGACAGGTAGCCCTCGGTGTGAGTCTGGCCCTGTGTTTCCTGATTGAGCAAGTCTCAGCCTCAGTTGCCTTTACCTGTGAGCCGTGGCTAATACTCACCTAATGACGGTGTTCTGAGTCCCTCTAGTCAGCCACGGAAGGAAGGTGCAGCATTCGGCCCAGCAGGTGGCATGGAGGGCATTTAGGAAACATCAGACCCCACCCAGCGGCACAAGGCTCTCAGCAAACATCAGATTCTCGAATGTTCCCACCGATACCATACCTTCCCACCTGCAACTACTTCCACATCCTTGCCCTCCCTCCCTTTCATGCTGGATGCTCCTGCCTGAGGCCACCCTGTCCCTGGGTCCTGGTCCTGGCCCTTGTTACTTTCTCACAAAGGCCTCACTCGTGACCGCCACCTTGGTCTCCTGTGGCACCAGCACCCTCCCTCTTGGCTCACTCACTGTGTGATCATGCTATAGCGTCACTCTATCTAAAACAAAAGACAAGGGGCGCCTGGGTGGTTCCATCGGCTAAGTGTTTTCTTTGGCTCAGGTCTTGATCCTGAAGTCCCGGGTTCAAGCCCCAGCCCCCCAGCTGTCCAGCTCTCTGCTCAGCAGGGAGTCTGCTTCGGTTCTGGTGCTCACCCCGCTTGTGTTCTCTCTCTCTCTCTCTCTTTTTAAGATTTTATTTATTTATTGGGCAGACAGAGATCACAAGTAGGCAGAGAGGCAGGTAGAGAAAAAGGAAGAAGCAGGCTCCCCACTGAGCAGAGAGCCCAACACAGGGCTCAATCCCAGGACCCCGGGACCACGACCCCAGGCGAAGGCAGAGGCTTTAACCCACTGAGCCACCCAGGCGCCCCTGTTTTCTCTCTCTCCTAAGTAAATAAATAAAATCTTGAAAAAATACATTTAAAACAAAAGAGAAAACGACACAGAAGAACCCCTCCCTTGAAGGGCAGCTTGGTGGCTCAGCCAATTAAGGGACCAACTCTTGGGGTGCCTGGGTGGCTCAGTGGGTTAAAGCCTCTGCCTTCAGCTCAGGTCATGATCTCAGGGTCCTGGGATCGAGCCCCGCAGCATCGGGCTCTCTGCTCAGCGGGGAGCCTGCTTCCTCCTCTCTCTCTGCCTGCCTCTCTGCCTACTTGTGATCTCTCTCTGTGTTGAATAAATAAAATCTTTAAAAAAAAAAAAACAAAGGGGACCAACTCTTGATTTCAGCTCAGGTCGTGGTCTTATGAGTCTTGAGATCAAGCCCCGCATGGGGGTTCTGTGCTCAGCAGGGAGTCTGCTTGAAGATTCTCGCCCTCTGTCTCCCCCGAAACTTGCGCTCATGCATGCGCACACATGCTTTCTCTCTCTCTCTAATAAACAAATCCTAAAAAAACCCCAAAACCCTTCTTTGATCCCACGTCCCTCTGATCACCACTTTATTGCTCTGCTCCCTTTACAGTACAAGTCCCCGAAAGAGCTGGCATGCTCCCGCTCTCCACTCCCACTGCCATTCCATCTGTGCCCACTCCAGGACTCATGGAAACTTCTTGTCCCCAGTGACCTCCACATTGCCAAGTCCAGCATGCTGCCCTCAGGCTTCATTTTACGAGCCTCTCCAGAGCATCGGAGACCCTGAAATGCTTTCTGTGCAGGCCTCCTAGGCCCGCCCCTCCGGACTTTCCTCCAGCCTGCCACCCCCAGTCTCCTCCTCCCCCGCCTCTAAGCACAGAAGGTGCAGGCCTGTCCTTGGACCACTTCTCATCTCCATCTGTACCCACTCAGGTAACCTCATCCACATTCAGGACTTTAAATGCCACCTAAAACACGCCCACATTTACATCTCAAACTCAGAACTCCCCAGAACTCCAGACTTGCGTATCCACCACCTACTCCCCAGCTCTGCTTGGGTGTCAGGCGCAAACTCCCGACACCCAGCCCTCCTCACCCCTCCCAGGTCTTTCCCATCTCAGTCATGGGAACTCTGGCTTTCCAGCTGCTCGGGCCAAAGGCTTTGGAGTTCTCCCTGGCCCGTCTCTCTCAGACCCACAGCCAACTGGTCTCCCCACCCTGGCCCCAGTCACCAACAGCACTCTCAGGGCCGACCCCAAAAGCCTCCCAAGCGGTGTTGCTGCCTCTTCTTCCCCCAGCCCCACAATCTGTTCTCCACCAACAGCCAGAGTGATGTTTTCAACACATAAGCTTGATTATGTCATTTATTGGCTTAAAACCCACCAGTGTCTTCCTGTCTCCCTCCGATTAAAATCTAGATTCCTTATCTCAGCCTGCGTGAAAGGCCCGGTGGGAGCAACCTGCTACCTCTCTGGCCTCATTTCCCACCGTACTCCTCTTGCCCCCGTCTGCGCCCTGGCTGCGTGGCCTCCATGCTGTTCCTGGACCAGGACGCACACGCTCCTGTCTTGGGACTGTGCTGCTGTTCTTCTGTCCAGAGCGCCCCCGTAGGTGTAGGGCCCGTTCCTGTGCTTTGTTCAGGTCTCTGCTGAAACGCCACCCTGTCGGAGAGCTTCCCTGATCAAGCTCTCCAAGCACCCCGGGCATTCTTTGACCTCTAACCCTCATTTTGCCTACCACGTAATATTTACCTGTACGTCTTCTTTATCTCCTCACTGCTAACAACACCCGAGAGGACCTCTAGAGCCCGGGATACAGCAGGTGCTCAGCCGATGAGCTGGGGCACGGGTGTAGACAGGCAGAGCCAGGCCTCTCATCCCCACACCCCTGCTGGTGCCGCCAGCTCCTCCGGGCTTCAGGCCCCCTCCCTGTAAAATCGACCTTGAGTGCCCTCTAGGGGTTTTAGAGATGATTCATTTACAGTGCTTGAGGCACAGGCAGTGCCCAGGACAGTGGGGGCTGAAGAGGCCACTTGGCTGCTCTGTGGGCCTGTCCCCAAGGAGTTAACAGTGGTGCTGTCTCTTTCTGCTCGGGATGGAGGGCTGGCACAGAAACACAGGGTGAGGAGCACTGACTCCATTCTCCATGTCAGACCATCCCAGGGTCCCCTAATCATTGTTTCGGCCTCACCCAGTCCCCACCAGAGCCGGTTGGATGATGGCCATCTCGGAGCAGGACCTCCTCAATGCTGCTTCGGATCCAGGTGGCCTCGATGTGGGAAGCAGAGGTGCTTTCCGGGAATGTGTAGGTCTGGACTTTATAAGGCTTGTGTGGATCCTCCTCTGACAAAGGACCCATATTTGTGAGGTGGGCCACACTGGGCAGGCTGGGTGGCCCTGTCAGGTAGGTTTTCTCTGGCTGGTCCCTGCAGTTGGCTAAAGAGTAGTTTCCCTGTAGACCACCAGGAGGCGCCAGAGGCTGATCGGCTCTAATGAGGACTCGTCCCAGGGTCTAGTAAGGCGTCTTTCTTCCGTCCCAGGTGTAGGGTTGGGCCGCGGAGGGAAGGCGGAGCGCTGGTTCTCTCTCACCTATCAACTTGCTGGTTGCTGCCAGCCCACGCAGGGCCACATTAAGGGACTGAAGGCCAGGCTTCCAGACTCAGTGTTCTTTATTGACAAGCATTAGTGAACCCCTTGCCAGTTCTGCCCTCAGATTCCCAGCCTCAGGTGGGGAGTGCATCTTTGCCTTCCATCCTGTCTGTGTCCAGGGCTGTGCCTATTTGCCACACTATTCCCAGGACCACAGGATTTGTGGTCAGGGAGGAGCGTAGCAGGTATCTGAAAGGTCATGGCCAGGTCCTTGTCCTCAAGACCACTCTCCCTGTAGGAAGTGCAAGCTTCAGCTGAGTTGGCTCTCAGAGGCGGCTCCAGGAGCCTGCTGGTTAGATGGAGGCCTGAGCCTCCGAGACCTCCAGATTCAGCCTCTTTTCTCTATGAGGCTCTTTCCTGCTAAAGGTTCTTCACAGCAGAACTGAGTCAAGGGGGCACCAACTGCCTGTCACTTGTGTCTTGAGGCTCTGGGAGAGCGGGCAGGAGGTCTTAGGTGGTGCCTCAAAGGGGATAGAGATGCCAGAGGCTGTACAAGGGGAGGAGGGGGGGGAGGAAGGGAGGAGCCAGAGAGTCAATTAAGTCCTTGGTCGGATTTCACCAGCCCTAATTCTTGGCCATGGTCTATAGTCATTGGCCAACCCCTCTGTCCTAAATACATAGTCCCTAGGGCCCTGGGTGCACCCTTCCCCCACCATTAGCTCAGCGGTAGGGATTATTAAAGCAATCTTTGGTCTTCCTGAGCCAGGCACCTTAGAGAACCTTCTTGCCTGTTTAGCAAGGCCCCAAAGCCTGCATCCATTTCTTCCCCAGGCCAGGGCAGCCCCCACCCCAGGGGCCAGCAGGCCAGTGGTGCCTGATGGAAACCTTGGCTCCCCTGAGAGCCCTCCCTGGCCTGTCTCTGACCTGAACTGGAATCGGGGATCTCCAGGGTGGGTCTGTAGCACCTGACGCACTTCTGGGGGCGGCTCCAAGCCCATCTGCTCCGCCCGATGCCAGCGCTGCAGCCGTGTGATCCCTGCCAGGGTGGGAAGAAGACGACTCTGGCACCTCAGGGCAGTGGGGAAGAGTTCAGGCCAGACAGTGTGTGTGGAGGGGTGTGGAGGGGTGTGTCGGAACCTCCACGCCCCCTAGTTTCAGGAGACAGTGGCCGAGAGGGTCAGGCAGGGGCTTGGGTTGCCTCGGGGACGTGCAGGTGACAGGACTGTCCCCAGGATGTGTTCCTGGGGCCAGAGAGGGCTCTCACCTGTGCAGGGCCCGTACTGCCAGGCGAGATCGAACTGCCTCAGCAGCTCCAGCTCTGCTTCATCCACGCTTGGGGGCTGGGGCTCTTCCCCTGCAATGACATGCGGCTCCTCAGGCCAGTCCCCTGCCCCTCACCTCACAGCAGCCCCACTGCTCCCCGGCCCTCACCACCCCTTTTCCTCTGCCGGCCACTGCCAGGCCTGGAGTAGGAAGTAGACACCATACTTCACTTCCTCTTCCATTGCCCACGTCCACCCGCGTCCTCTCATGCCCCTCGGCGCCTCCACTGCTCCCGCCCCCCCACACACATAAGAGACCTAGCTCTGGTGCCAGCTCCCCCTTGCTGTGCCCAACGGGGCCCTCCCTCCTCTTCACTACAGGGTAGGAGTCAGTGATGAGCCGCTTCCGGCCCATGGCGGCCACCCAGGCAGGCAGAGAAGGAGGCGACTGCGGGGAAGGAGAGAGACAGGCCAGCGGGCACGAGAGAGACAGCTGCTGAGAGAGAGAGAGAAGAGGGCTGGGGCCAGAGACCGAGCCTGGGGCCAGCGACGGGCAGACAGGGTGACCCAGACAAGCAGAGAGGAAGTCCGCGGGTTCCAGGGAATGACGCCTGTCCCCCACCCCCACAAGCGCACAAACATCAAAGACCTAGACCAATGGTTGGCCGCCTCCGTGGGGCGGGGCCCGACTCCAGCCAATGGCAGGCGGCGAAGGCAGAGGGGGCGGGGCAGCTGCTGCAGCTGTGTTCTGGGGAGAAGGGGTGAGGCTGGGGTGGGGGACCTGTCAAGATGCCCCAGACTGCACCACCTCCCCCTACCCCCCTCCTCCCCATTGGTCTGCAGTGGGTCCCGGGGGACTTATAGAGCGTTATCCTCAGCCTCTCACTTCCCGTTTTCCCTTCCTAGGCAAATGTTCTTTTCAGCCTCAGTAATCCCCGTGGCCGGTTGGTAACTCCCCAGAGTCCAGCTGGAGCCTCCACTCCCACCCCTTGTCCCGCAGAGCCTTATGGGGGCAGGTCTGGAGGTCCGAAGAGCGTTTGGGTTAATCCAGCCCCCTTCCCTGCTCCCACCCCACCCCCGCCGGCCCCAGGAGACTGGAGGGAGAAGCCCATGGGTTCCAAAGCTCCTTTCTCACAGTCTGTGCCCAAAGACCCTGCCTGCTCTTAGTCTAGGCAAGCGTTGGCCTTGTCGACTCTCTGGGGGTCCTGTAGCCTGCCCATGCCTACCCTACTAGTCAGGAAGATTCCACAGTGAGCGGAGGGCCAAAGTGTTTGTATCCCCAGGTCTTTATCAGTAAAATCTGCCCAGTGTCACTAATGCGACAGTATGAGCAGAAAATACCAGCGATAAACTAAACACTTCTATGGCACTTACGGTGTGCCAAGTACTGTTCTCAGCACTTTCCCACATTTCACTCAACTAAAATAGATGTAAAATGCTTCTGGTTTTTCTTTCTTTCTTTTTTTTTTTTTTTTTTAAGTAATCTCTACCCCCAACATGGGGCTTGGGCTCACCACCCCAAGATCAAGAGTCGTGTGCTCCACCGGCTGAGTCAGCCAGGCGCCTCATAAAATGGTTTTTCAAAGTAGGAAGTGCTGATGGTCCCAGCCGTTGTGGGGCCCCAGTTAAACCACAGTTCCGCTGTGCCCTCCCCAACCCAGGAGCTCAGAGGCTAATGGGGTAGGCACACGGGACACCCAAGTTGTCAGTGCAAGGACAAAATTCCTAACAAACAGGAAAGGGGAGTAGAAGGGTGGGTCGGAGAGGAGTTGTCCGTGGGGCCGGCTCAGCACTGGAAGACCTCCTGGAGGAGGCGGGCTGCTGTAAACAGTGTCTCTCAATTCTCCACCCATGACCTTTGTCCCTTGGGCTCCTGTCATCGCTGAGTCACCCCTTTACCCGCCTCCCCCTCACCAACTTCCTGGCAGCAAGCAAAAGTACTGGTCAGTGGGAGTCTGGGAATCAGCACAGGGACCAGCCCAGCTCTAACTGCCCTTCAGAGCTCCCATCCAGTTCTTCCAGGAGGACAAGGTACTGCCCAGACGCTTCTGCCTCCCCCCCACTCCACTGCTCTGCACCCCAGGTGCTCTGCGTTTGGAGTAAGGTGGGCATGAGAGAGGAAAATGCTCTGGAGTGTAGACCACCGGAGGGGAGGCACCAGAGCAGCCGTGTCCGCAGGGGCCTGCTGCCCGGCTCTCCCCAGCCCCTTCCCTGAGGAGGGCTGAGTGGGAGTCAGAGCTCATGACAGAACTGCACAGCGCTGGAGGGCCCTTCCCTGCTTTATTTTCTGGGCTGGGCCTGGCCTAATCCCCCATCTGCCTCTTGGACTAAGTGGGGCCCATACTGAGGGAGACGGGGGCCCTGTTGCACTGGGGAGGAAAGCAGGGAGGCCCTGTCCCCCCGGGCCTGGGAAGGGCTGAGGTGCGGGGGTCCTGTCAGGCCCCGGGCCCTCTACAAAGGGATGGTGCCCAGGCTCCTCGGGGCTGACCAGTCTCTCCCTGGAGGGCGGTCCCAGAGGTGCGTGGCACCTCACTCCTGAGCCCACAGAGCCCTGAGGGAGTAGGAAGCCATGGGTGGGGCAGACCCCTCCTCATTCCTGGTCCTTCCCACCCCTGAAAGCTGATAGCCGTGGGGCCCTGCCACCGCCCAGGGAGCGTGAAATGGGGTGTGCTGCTGGGCGGCCACAGTGGCTCCTACTGCCGCCCGATATCCTTCCTGCTCGCCTCTGGCACCCTGACCTGCTCTGTGGGCACTTTCTGGGCCATCCCTGCCAGCTTCCTCCAGCTCTGCCTGGGCCCAGGCCTTGCGGGCCTCTCTCACCTAGCCTGCCTTCAGCTTCCCCCAGCCCCGAGAAAGAATCAGGGCAGTTAGCTCAAGCGCAGGCAGGCGGCCTAGGACTGGCTTTCTGGCCTGGAGTCAAGAGAACTCTCGACAGACAGCGTTGCCCTCCTGTCCTAGTCAGCCGGTAGTGGGACTGAGCTCCCCGGCTCAAAGGCGTTAGCACCCAGGAGTTCTGGAACCATCCCTGGCTAATTGGCATCCTTGCCCGATTTGTCATCTGGATCCCTCAGGTGTGCTAGCCAGACTAGAACCTCGGCCTGCCCGTCCTCGGGTCTTTTCCTTTTTCACTCCTCTAACCCTGTCTGCCCCCGATCACCTTTTTTCCTGGAACCCCTGTACCGACTCAGGCAGCCTCCTGGCCTATTCCCAAAACTGCTGTGGTGGGGTCTGTCACAAGTCAGTCAGGCGTCACACTGGAGGGCCAGGCCAGAGGTCGGAGTTGGGAGCAAAGTTCTCCCTCCTTCAGGGAACTTCCCGAGACCCAGGAGCCTGTTTCTGTGTCAGCTCTGACCCCCAGAGGTTGGTGATGGGACTAGCAGGACTGACCTTTGCACCTCGGCCTGGGAACACTCAAGGGCCTTGTTCAGGTCAATATCAAAGTCTTGGGAGAAGCCAAGAGAAAAAGAAGAGGAAAGAACTGGAACAGGAGCCCAGCACCTTCCTGAGGGCTGAGGCCCACTGCCTACTGCTCCAAGGGGAAGGGAGATTAGGCCTGGCTTAGCTCAGACAATGTGGCAGGGTTGGGGGCCTCAGCACTGCGCAGGCGCCCTGGGAGCCCCTTCCCCCTCCCCTGCTCACACTGGGGCTTGTGGAGAGAGCCAGCTAGAGCTAGGAAGGTGGGGGCAGGTAGAGGAAAGGAAGCAGTTGCCTGGGGCCCAGCAGGCTGTGGGGCGTAGCCTGCTCTCCTTCCTTCTCCGGCACCCCCCTTCCTCAGGCCCTCGGGCCCTGCCACCCACCCTGAGCTGGAGATTCTGGGCAGCCAGACTCATATCCCCAGCCCCCACATAGTCACACACCCTGGGCCCCATTCCCCACCCTCTGGGCCAAAATTCTTTCCGCTGGCTCCTCCTAGTCCATCATGACCCTCCCAGACAGCCCACCGCTTCCTGCTCCAGGGTCTCTGGCCTAGTGGGCTTAAGGGGCAGGAGCCTGATCGAAGGCAAAAGTTGCCCCACATCTGGGTTTTTCTGCCACTGGCTGTCTTTTCTGCTTTGTCTCAACGACCCCTTCCAAAGTTCCCATCACCTCCCCTTTCACCTTGGCCAGCCTGGCTCTGGAGAGACTCCGGGGAGATTTGAAAGGGATCCTTCTGGCCATTTCTCACCTTGGCCACCAGGTGTCAGACTTTGTCTAGCTGGAAGGAAGGTCCTAGTTAGTTTCCCATCAGCCGGCCTTAGAGATCTGGGCAAGTTGGGGAGGGGCCTAGAGGTGACCTCTGAACTCGGGAGGCTGAAAGACCCTGAAGGTTGGGAGAAAGAAAGGGCTGGAACTCTGGTCCTACAGTTCACAGCTACTCCCTCGTCGTCCCCACCCCCACCTCACTGACAAGGGCTTTGTCTACTGCTGGGAATTGGGGAACCAGGCTGAGTCAGGGAGCTCAAGTATTACAGGGACAAAGGCAGGAACAGTTGTGGTTCCAGAGAAGAAGGGGGAGCTTCGAGGCAGCCATCCATCAGAACACTCAGCCAGGGGCCTGGATGGCTGGCCCTTGCCCTGTAGGTTAAGGGGAACAAGGGCCTCCCTTGGCCCTTCCCCATGTGGGGTGGCCCTGGCAAGATGAGCGCCTGAATGTGTCTCTTCACATGCTGAGAGGGCCCCAAGTCCTCGGGTGCACGGCCAGTCGGTGCAAAAGCAGGAAGCTGGCAAGACGCCACCACCCTTCTGCCACCCTCCACCTCTTCTGTAGGCACCCGTTCCTACCCCTGCCCCGGACTTTGCCTCTCCCAAGAGACAGCTCTCCAGACCCCGCACACCCTCTCCCGCAAGTGCGCTTCCAGATGCCCGAGGCAACGTTGAGATTTCTAATAGAAAGAAAGCCTGCTGACTTGTCATTTACCAAGGGCTACTTGCCTCATGGTCCCCAGCTCCAAAACCCAAAGGAGGGGGACTCACACCTTGACACTATCCGTAGGGAGCTATTTGGGGGAGAAGTTCAAGAACCCAAACTCTGAAATGCCCTTTCTGGCTCAGCCCTCCTCTGTGTCCAGCTCCCCGACCTCGCTGCCGGGGGTGCTCCCTCTGCACCTTCCATGGGAGTCGTCTCCAGCACTTGCCCACCTTTCCCGGTCACTCTCCTCCCTTCTTTCCCTCTGCTACCAGCCTTGTGTGCGCTGTGGCTCCCAGCCACTCCAGAGCACCATTCCTATCCTTCTGGGGTCTAGACCAACCCTCAGTTCTCTGCCGTTCATGCTTTGTCAGCCCTCGGCCTTGGGAATCACCCCATCCCCTATCTGTGCTTGCCTCTGGCCATCTCTGGCTTGCTAGGGGATGTCACAGCCCATGACAGAGATGCGGGTGCTGGTGCCACCTAGCACCATGGGGCTGCCCAGCAACGTTTTGATTCCTTTCCTCTGCTTGTCCCTGACTCCATTCCCTAATGCTTTCTGCATTCTTCTCCAGCTGCACCCCTCCCACAGCAATTTCATGTTTAGATCTCATCTATTTGAAAACAACAGCAAACCAGCCGACCCTACAGAAAACCTTCTGTGCTCCCACTACCCGCCTAGGTATTCCTTTTGCCACGAAACGCCAGGGAAAATTACATTTACCCCTTTTTCTTTCTCACCACCTCCTTTAATCTCACAATTTGGCATCTGCCTCCCAACTGCGCTTGCAAAGATCACGTGTGACTTCCTGATTTCTCAGTGGGTTTCCCCCCGAATTCTTCCTTCAGTGCTTCGGGGGGGCCTCTGACACTGCCGATCGGCCGCCTCCCTAAAACTCTTAACTCTCATACACTGTTGCCTTGACACTCTTCACGTCAGCTTATGTTAAATCATCAAGTACTTTAGTTCGGGGCAGGCATCATGCTAAAATGCTGTAGGGATGCAAAGACGAGTAAATCGTGGAAACTGCCCTCGAGATGCTGTGTGCTTAAAAGGGAGACAGACACACCGAACCGACCCTTGTTCTGCCCTTGTCCAAACCCTACCTGGAGAAGCCATGCAGCAGCGCCTGCTGTGTGTTGGGCCCTGGAACGACAGCGGTGACGGCAGACACCCTTGCTTCCCTGCGAGGCTTCCAGGCCAGCACCCTTGGCGGAGGGACGCCATCGCGCCTGCCTTGGACCCCCTGGGATTTCGTCTGGGTCTTTCTGCAGCTAAGCACATTCTGCTTTGGATTTTAGCATTTGGGGCAAAGGACCCCTTTTCTGGGTGGTTTGGGTCAGCACACTAATTGAACACCTTCTTTGGGCTTGCGCCTGCACTGGGGTAAAGAAATGGAGAAAGCGGAGTCTGCCCCCCAAGATGCTCGCAGTACTGGGCTGTGGGATATGCCTCCCTTCTTCCGGTCTTCTGGATAGCCGCTTGCTTGGTGCCTTGCCTTACGGGCTGCTACTCCTTTTGCGCCAGCGTGGAGACAGCCCAGATGCCCTCTCCTTCCTATCTTGTTAGGCAGGAAGTAGGCCTGTGGGGTATCTAGAGAGAGCCAGGGAAGATATCCCCGCCCAGAGAGCCTGGACCCCTCTGTGGGGCATGTCCCCTCCCACGTGGGCCAGGTGATCCTGGGACCGTCAGCAGAAGCCACCTCACCCACAGACAAGTCCAGTGGCTCCTGCGTCTACACTCACACACCTGGCGGTGGTTTCAGGTAAGCTGCCCTTCCCTCCCCGGATGGATCACAGGCTCCGTAAGGGCGTAAGGGCGGAAGCCAAGTTAGCTCTCAGATTGCCCTTGGAGTTCCTACTCCGGTTAGCATAATGATGGGCAGGCTTGAAAGTATTTGTTGATGGCTTGATGTCACCATCATGTTACTTCCTTTGCTTAGGACACCATCTCCTGGTAAAATACTTCTATGTCACCTGGGAGCAGTCAGCCCCTATACCTCCCCCAAGGCTCTTTGCAGAGTGACCCAGCAGGCCGATCTGTCCCAAGTCACCTGTGCTTACTAATCCCTGCCACCGCAGCCGGGCATCTCACCTTTATCTTTCTCTCAGCCTTCAGTCTTAGAAGGCTGTTTCGTCATCCCCATTTTACAGACGGGGAAAGTGGAGAATAGAGAGCTTTAGGTAATTTGTCCAAAGTCACTCTAGGAGGTTAAGAGGCTGGGCTTGGAGCTGAGGTCATCCCTTGAGTAGTACCTACCCCATTTGCTTGCAGACCAATCTGAGTTTTCCTCTTTCCCCCCAACCTGCTGTCTTACACTGGGAAGAAAGGAGTAGAGTGACAGCCGAGACTCGTGACTTGGCCGCAGTCAGTCACACTCCCCAGGAGAGGAAGGGTATTGAGGTGAGGGTCACTGCTGGGGGCCCCAGTGGGTTGTCACAGGTGGGGGTACTGGCGAAGCTGAGGGCTGACTACGAAAGGCTGACCGGAGGGACAGGTGGACAGCATTGCCGGCAGACAGACCTCTGAGACCCTTAAAGTAATCTTGAGAGGGGAGGCGGGCTGAGCAAAGGCTGGGAGGGGGACACCAGATGTTGGAAGGACTAAAGGACACGCCGTGGGTAGAGGGGCAGAATGTGCTGTGCACACACCCTTCCTATGGACCGGGCAGAGCCTCTTCCCCAAGCTCTTTGCCTCTCCGAGCCAACCCTTGGACTGGCAGACTCCGAGCCTGTGGGCCCGCGGGAGCCTGGGAGGGGAAGGACAAGGAGGGGCAAGGCCAAGCCGAGAGACGAAGTCCTGGGGCAAGCATTTTATTCGTTAATACAAGAATAGAAATTTTGCAATAAATATCATCTAATAAATAACATCTCCAAATAAATAAATATTAATACAACAAACTTAGAGTCATGAGTGGGTGAGGCTGGGGGCAGGGCCCGGGGGGGGGAGCTGCCCCCCCACCCTGCAATGCTACTGCAATGTAAACTTTCAGGGAACCCTGCACCGGTGGCTCTGGTTGCCTTCCCCAGCCTGGGCAACCCACAGCCAGCCCAGAAAGGGGGTGGGGAGGAGGCACCGTGATGCCGGCGACAAGATGCAAAGCAAGGTCCTTTTGGCTGCCATCCTGTGCCCCCGACTGCCTTGGTGACCCCTGGGGCCGGTCTGTCCCTGGCCCTACGCTTTCAGTCTGACCTCCAATGCAGACCCTGCCTCTTCCACCTTTAAATCCCATTTCTCCCTGTTTGAACTTGCCACTGTGTGTGCTTCCTGAATCGAGTGTAGCGAGTTATTTGGGGATAGGGGAGCAACACCTATCGAAGAAGAGCGGGGCAGCCGGAGGGCTTCACCCCCGAAACATGGGTGCCGTGATGGCCCCCCTCCCGGTCCTACAGGCACGCTTCCCGGAAGTGCCACTTGAGAGGGGCCGTGTGGCACCGGCGAGTGCTGGGCAGATCGCGGGAAGCTGTGAGAGCCTTTGCACCATCTGGCACCCCTTCGGCCGGCTGGCCGGGTGAGCACTCCTTCCTGTGGCAACGGGACAGGAGCTCTTGGGCCTCTTCCCCAGACCTGCACGACTTTGGGAAGCGGGAGGGGACAGGCCTTACTGCATCGCACCCCCTTCCAAGTCCGGAGAGGGCCAGAGCCTCCTGGCTTCTGTCTCCTGGCTCAACAAGGGTTGGCGCACAGGTTTCTCCCTCCCCGAGTGGGAGCAGAGCAGGGCTTAAAGGAGGAGGCGAGAGGGGAGGTGGGGAAGGTGAGAGGTCAGAAGCCGTGGGCCTCCAGGTGCAGGGTGACTGCCGCCGCAGGAGGCTGCATCTTCTTCTTGAGCCGGTTGAAGTCCTTGGCTGAACGCCACAGCCAGGTCTGCAGCTCCTTTAGCAGCCAGAAGTCGTCCATCTTCTGGAGGAAGTCGCTGTGGGCAGGGCCAGGGGCCCAGGTGGGCTCAGTGCCCGGCAGAGGCTGGGGCAGCGGGTAGCCCAGGGCCGCCATGACGCCCGCGATGCTGCCCAGCAGGCCCTGGAGGCTGGTGCAGAAGTGGGCCAGGCTGCGGCGCAGCTCAGCCGTGGCGGCCTGGCGGTTGAGGCCCCGCAGGTAGCACAGCAGGTGGCTGTAGGCCTCATAGTTCTGGGTCAGCCGCAGTTTGTCGTTGAGGCTCCGCCACACGTCCAGGTTGACGGTGGCCCTGGGCAGGGTCTCTGCCCCCAGGCGAGGCGGGTTGAAGTCAGGCTCGTTGAAAGGGGGGCCCAGGTAGTTCAGCTGTGAAAAGGAGAGGGCGATGGGGAAGGAGGAGGGCCGAGCAGCCAGCGGCTACCAGGAGATACCTGCCCCCAGAGCCGTTGTGTCCCCAGACACCTGTCTGCACACCAGGCCCCTCTCTGCTCGGGGGCCTCCCCAAGCTTCTCCGGGGGTGTCATTTGCGTGGAGGTGACAGCTGAGGCAGTGGGGGTGATGAACTCTCCCACGAAGAGGTGTAGAAAGAGAAAACCTTGCAGGAGCTACTCAGAGAGGGTGTGCTGATGGGCTGTGTGTGCAAAGCCTTGGGAGCGGGCCCCCCGCGGGGCAGGGCAGAGAGGAAGAGGAGCCAGGAGGACACAGGAGGCCAGGCCGCAGAGGTGGAAGGTGGACCAGAAGAGTGTAGAGCCAAGAAGAGTTCAGAAGGCAGCAGAGCTCGACAGTGTGGCTGCAAAACAGAGATCAAGGAGAATGAGCCCTAGAAAATTCTGTTGGGTTCGGCCAGAAGGAGGTGCCTGACGACCTTGGAGAGAGCCGCTTCAGTGGCCTGGAGGCCAGATTGCAGGGGGTTAAGGAGTGAGTGGGTGGAGAGGAAGCGGAGGCAGAGGGTGTAGACCACTCCTTCAAGAAATTTGGCAGGGAAAGCCAGGAGAGAAAAAGGGTCGGGAGCTAGAGGGGGTAGCAGAGTCAAGCAAAGGTTTTTGGCCAGGGGAGGGAGGAGCGGGTGGGAAGGCAGAGGGGCCCATGGGAATCAGAGCTCCATTTGCCTCCCGACATGCCTGGTCCCACCAGCAGAAGGGCCAGGGATAGACGGTACTCATGAAGCCCTAAGTCCCCCAACACAGGGCTCCCAGGAGCAGGGCTGCAGAAGGAAGAAACTGAGGCAGTCTCAAGAGTTCAGCTGGAGGAAGGGTACAGGAGGCAGGCTAGGGACGAGGACACAGCTTTGCCAGCCCTCAAGGGAGAGGCCTGGGGCCCAGGGAAAGGGCTGAGGGGGACGCTGCAGCCAGAGAGAAAGGGAGCAGAGAGGGGCGAGGCCTGGGATAGGCAAGGGCCCAGGGGGAGGTTCACACGCTGACAAGCACAGAGACAAACTAATTTCCTCGGTGTATCCTGGGGCTGGAGCCAGCTCCCCCACCACCCTCCTCCCCTTTCCTTCCCTGGCTCCAGAGTAGGGTCTGGGATGTGGAAGAGGAACACGGGAAGAGGGGGCTGGTTCCCCATGGTCCTCGGCAACTCTGACCCTCTTCCCTTCTCTCCTGGGCTCTCAGAACACCTCTGGACTGCCCCCAAATCCTTATGGCACAACTTCCATCCACACCCCGAATCTCCTGCCACTACTGGCCTGGCTTCCCCTCAGCCCCCTTCCCCCAAGTCCCCCCTAGGAGGCCCAGCTAGGATGGGAGAGGCAGACAGAAGGGAGGCCCATGGGTCCAGAGCAGCAGGGCCCCAGGTCTGGGGCAGAGGCGAGCTGGAACACAGGCATGGGAGGTGGGGCCCCTCCATCCCCACCCAGCCCCGCCCGTGCAAGAGACACCACAACACGGTGTAAACAGAAGAGACTTCCCCGGCCCCCAGGGGGAGGCGGGCGGCTGGGCGGGCAGCCAGTGGGGCAATGGGCCAAGGCGGGTGCGAGGCCTGCCCACATGCCTAGTCCTGGGGCCAGGGATGGGGAAGAGGGGGGCACCTAAGAGGGAAGGGCAGGAGATAGGCCAGACATGGGGACCGTTTGGAACCAAAGGGCCCCCTGGTTGTTGCTGCTCACTGGGACCCCTCCACCGTTCTGTCTCTCTTCCACCAACTCCCACACCCTGCAGTCACCCCGGTACTCACGTAGGTCCCAGCCAAGCTGCGGAGTTGGTGCTCCAGGTAGCGGGTGAGGTCATAGGTTTTCTGGATGGAGGGACCAGGCCCCGGGTCCCCTGTGCGATTGAGGGCCGGCACTGCGGGGAGGTGCCAGAGCACAGTGCACAGGCAAGCTAGCAGCCCCCACGAGTCCCCTGTGGACAGGAGGGGCATGAAGCGTGAGCGCAGGCCCAGGCCCAGTGGAAGACACGGCTGGCAGGCCCTCAGGTGTGTGTCCCCACCTTGGGCTTGGAGGGGGGTGGGGAGCGTGGGCCGTCAGATGGGAGGCAGGGGGCATGGAGTAGGGGAGCGTTCCTGGCCAGGGTGTGTGTGCACAGTGGCATGTATGTGAACGAGGACCAAGACTTGGCCACTGTGTGTGTATCTCCCAGTACACTGGCTTGTCAGCTAAGGGTCGCCGTATCTATGCCGACACGTGTGTATGCGTACACGGAGGGACGGGGCCAGGCCTAGGGTCTGTGAACCAGTGTTCCTGGGTTCAGCCCCCTCTCCCAGCCCCCCTGTCCCACTGGAGCTGAGGGGGTGGGGAACAGCACGTGTGCCCACTGCCGGTCCGGAGCAGTCAGTCCTGGGAAGGGCCCGAGAGAGGCTGCCCCGAGAGAAGTCCAAGCCGAGCCATAGGAGGCAAGGGGTAAGGTTAGATCACCAATGGCAGGCTGAAGGACACAGGGCTGGCTCCTGTAGCTGGGGGTACGTTCTAGTGGATTCCTGGGTTTGGACTGACGCAGGGCCCAGGTCTGCCCCGTTCTTATCTCGGAGGCTGGATGGGGAAGAGTTTGACCTGAATGAGTTTGTTGTTTGTTTTTGAAGATTTATTTATTTATTTCAGAGAGAGAGAGAGAGAGAGAGAGAGAGAGAGAGATGTGTGCACATGCGGGGTAGGGGCAGAGGGAGAGGGGAAGCAGACGCCCCCACTAAGCGTGGAGCCTGACTGGGGGCTCCATCCAGGACCCCAACATCATCACCTGAGCCAAAATCAAGAGTTGGATGCTTAACGGGCTGAGCCACCCAGGCGCCCCCTGAATGGGGTCCTTTGATCAGCCTGCAGTGAAGAGGGGAGGGGTGGGATTGGAAAGGGAGGAGGAGAGGGGATATGCTGTATTTGTTGGGTTTGGTTTGTCAGCCAACCGTGCAGAAGAGTTTGGACATCTTGAGATTCCAGGGGTCTTGAGCCCAGGGGGTCAAGGTCTGTGAGGACAGACATAAGCAGCAGAAGACACGATTTTCCCAGCTTTTAGGTGAGGTCCATGGTGAAGAGAACGAGGCCAGGATCCCGTGGGCATGGGGGACTGGGTAAAGGCGATTAGGGTTGGACTATAATTGGCGTTGGGCTAGGTTAGGTTTAAGGACTGGGTTACTTTTAAAGTTTCAGGTTAGTTTACTGGGATTTGGCTGACTGAGTGTGGTTGAGGTTTGAGTCCGGCTAGGGGATGTGGTTAGGTTTGGACAGGCTCAGGGTTCGCTGGGGCCAAGGTCTGTGAATGTGTTCATTCAGACGTCAGCTGGGGTTACACATGGCACATCACTAAGAGAGGCCGGGTGAGGGTTTTAAGCTTGGGTAGGTGTGAGATCATGAGTAGTTTCTTCTGCTTTCTATTTTCTGCAGAATTTCACGATGACATATGTTGTTGCTGCGACAGTCAGAAATGAGTTGGATACGCGTTTGACAGTTTGACTGTACTTAGAGTTAGGGGGAGTCTGGAGTGAGCTGTAATGCTGGGTCAGAGTTTTAGAGAGGGTTTAAGACTCAGACTGTATAGAATGTCTCTGACAAGGGTGTAAGGGTCAGGGGGGGACTTCTGCAGTGGCCCTGCCCGTCAGTCTTCACTCTTCCAGACGCTTGGCTGGGGACTTCATGGATAGAGCATGGGAGTGGGCAGGGTGGGGGAGAGCACAGGTCTGAGACCCTGCCCCTGGGAATGAGGGCCTCTTGGTTTGAGAGCGTGCGTGCGTGCGTGTAGACAGAGAGCAGTATCAGGCGCATGACTTAGCCGCCTGTCCTTGTCCCCATCTGCAGCCCGTGGCTTCCCTCCTGGTGCTCCTTCCCTCATTCTGCCTTTCCAAGCTTAGCTCCATTCATCATGCCTCACATCCCAAGAGAATTCTAGGCCTTCCTCCTCTGCACAAAGCCTGGGGCTACCCTCAGCCTGGATTATCTAGTCGAGTGACCTCCAAGATTCTAGGGGTACAAGATGGGTTTCATTTCGGAGGTTGGATACCTGCCGAGGTGGGCAGTGGCCCTTCCAGGCTTGAGTTAGCGGCGATGCTGAGGATCCCAGCTGAAACCTGGATTGGGAGCTGGGCTCACCTCTGTCCCCCACACTGCTTGGGACAGCCCTTCTGGCCAGAGTTCTTATGCCATGGAGGGGGTGGGGGAAGGATCACAGGGTCAGGACCCCAACTCTGGGCCTTGTTTTAGCCTCCCCTTCTGGGTCCTGTGGGACATCCCTGGGGAGGACTGGCTCCCTGCACAGGGACAACAGGGGGAGAAGCCTTTGGATAAACAAGAGCTAAGTCATCTGGGCAGAAAAACGGCTCATGAAATTAACCAGACGAGGCCGGTGTTTCCAGGAATATTTCAGTTCTGAGGTAACTGTGTCACTGCAGGCTGGGGGTGGGGGCAGGGGAAGGAGCAGCAGGATCGGACTGACTGACCGACCCATGGAGAGAACCAGAAAGAAGGAAGGAGTCTCAGGTGCCTAGAGGGAGGAGAGGCTCGGAGAGGTGAAAGGGGACAGGGCTCTCCTCTCTAGTACAACAGCTTCTGCTCTGGGCAAGATGTCCCCACATCTCAGGCAGCAAACAGAGAGCCATCTGGGGCACAGAACACCTGTGGTTTAGTTGTGAGCAGCGGGACCTGGGGCAGCTAGCCTGCATCCCTGGGAGGGAGAACTGGGTGGGCATCCCGCAGCCCTCTTCCATCCTTCTCGCCAGGCTCGTGGTGTGCAGGTGGACCCGGCCACTGGGGGCTGGGTCCTGGGCCCCCTCCCCCGGTCCTGGCCCCTAGCCCAGCCCCCGTCCCAGCTCTGCCTCTGGCTGCTGCCCACTGATTGTTTACATCCCGTCTTCCCCTGTGTTTATAAATCCGGCAGAGCACGTGAGGGGCTAATGAGTGCAGCTCACGTTTCCTGCTGGAGCCCCCCACCCCCCATCCTGGCCCCCTCCCGGGCGGCCCCTAATTCCATCCAGACCCCTGGGCCCTGGGAACCTAGGCCCCCTCACGAACACACACACATACTCAGCCCACGCAAGCGCACGGCCACCCTGACACGGCTGCACAGGCAGGCAGAGCCCGGTACGCGTGTCTCTAGCCAGCTGCCCCTTGATCCCTGGCCTGTGTCCTCCAGGCTGACCTCATTCAGCGAGGGTGGGGGGCTCAGTGGGGCAGATGGGCCCCCGGCGGCCAGGGTGGGTAGGACAAATCAGCCAGGGCACTCTGCACCTGGGATGGCTGCTTAAGAGCTAAGAGCCGAAAATGTAGGAGCTGGGGAGGCATCGCAGAGCTCCAGAGGTGCTGAAAAATGTGGGAGCCAGCCGGAAAGGCTCTGCCCTCAGGCCAGCTCTGGACCAGCTTCCACAGTGACCTTGGAGGGATTTGTTGAGGGGAATTGGGGGAAGGAGTGGTTTAAAGGGTATCGTGTCCAGTGCAGTGTGAGATCCGGGCACTGAACTCTAGGACATGGCCCTCGGGGGCTCCTTCTGACCAGCCTCCTCAGGGAGAGGCCCCCAGAAGCACCCCATCTTGCCTTGTCCTCTGGGGGGGGGGGGGCTGCCTTCCCCTGGCTCTTCTCCCTTCCATCCTCTCCTTGGTTCCCTCTGCCCCAGGTCACTGAGAAGTGCTTAGGGGGCGAGTCCACATAGGCCCAGAAGTCAGGATCCCCGAGATTTGCCACCAACCCACCAGGGGACTGGGCTCTCACGAGGGCTGCGCTGGGCACACTTAAGTCGCTGAGCAGAGCCACGTGGGGCCCCATGTCTCCTGTCCCCTTCAGCAGCACCCTCCCTGCCCTTCTCCAGCCTCAATGACAGAAGAAGAAACTGAGGCCCAGGGCAAGAAGCAGACAGGTGGGCCAGCCCCGGGCCTTGGGAAGGCAGCGTGGATACAGGAGTAGAGCTGTCGGAGTGAGAGCGTTCTGGACGGTGCTGCAAGAGGTCCCCGGGTGTCCCCAGGGGGAGCAAGATCAAGCGGGGGCGGCGGGGCCTGGGTGGGGGCGTGGGGGTGGGTACAGCCGGGCAGTCCGCTGAGAGCCGGACAGGGGGACCAAGAGAAGGAAACGGTCCCAGGAGTGTGGGTGAGTTTGAAAGGCTGTTGTTATTCAGAGGGGTGGGAGGGGCAGGGAGGGAGCGGGCAGGAGCAGGGGTGTGAATAGGCAGGTGGGACTGGATTGTGGAGAGGAATGTGAAGTGTCACTAGCAGTAGCTGGTGTGGGCCGACAGTGTGCACAAGTGTGAATGGGGCAGGAGTGCGGGGCTCTGTGGAGGGGAGAGGGAGCCATTACACCGGTCTGGAAGAGAGGCTGGGGATGCGAGGGCTGCTAGGTGACACTTGCTGCCATGTGCTCGGTGCCAGTCCCCCCCCCCCTTGAGAGAGTGGCTCCAGGGCAGTGAGGGCAGCAGATGAAAACCGGGCGGGGGGGGGGTGGGGGGGGGGGGGGGGGGTGCTATCTGGTCTGTCGCAGGAATGTGTCCTGGTGTCCCGAGGGAGGGGTAGTGGGTGCTCAGAGCCGGAAACGGGGTCTGTGGGGGTTGTGAAAGCCCGGAGGTGTCAGTCCCTCAGGCTCAAGGTCAGGGTCAGAGAGTGCCCGACAGAGGTGTGCGTCCAGCGCCCTCACCCACAGCCTCTGTCTCCAAGGCTGGGGACCTCCAGCCTCCCCACCCCTCCTGGCAGCTTCCTCCTACCTCAGCCGGTAAGGCCTGGCCGGGCGCTGGGGGAAACTGGGACGGGGTCCCGTGGGAGTGGGGGGTCTGTGGGGGTGGGGGCTTCTGGAGCGCAGTGTGGAGTCACTGGGAAGGAAGGTGGGGAGGGTAGAGATGAGGGGACTCTGGCGAGGCCCGAGGGACCTGGGGTCTCCCTCCAGGGGCTCGGCCGGAGAACTTGGCGGCGGCGGCCGCTCGCTGGCCCTCCCCCTCGGCGGTGACCTCTCGCTCCCGGCCCCCTCCCCGCGGCGGCGGCGGCGCCTTCCCCCTGTGTGGCCTCGGCGCCCCCGGCCCCGCCCCCGGCCCGCTCCCGCCCGGTCGCTCCCTTCCCGGCGGCGGGGGCGGGGGCGGGGTCCGGGGGCGCGGGGCTCGGGGCTCCGGCGGGCCGCTGCCCTTTCCCGCGCGTCAACTCCCCGCTCGGCCCGCCCGCCCTGCTGCGGGCCGCCGCGGCCGAGCGGCCGCTGCCGCCGCTGCCCGGCCGGTGACGGACTTTCTCCCGCCGGGTCCGGCCGAGCTGCGCCCGTCCCCCGCACTAATCACTCCCAGGCCACGGCGGGCGGGACCGGGGACTCGCTGCCGCTGCCGCCCGCCCCGCCGCCCGGCCCCTACCTGCCGCCGGCTCCCCGGCCGCGGGCAGCATGGTGGGCTCCGGCCGCGCGGCGCGCAGCGAGGAAGCCGCGGGTCCCGCAGCCCGGCCCGGCCCGGCCCAGCCAGGCTCGGCTCTGCCCTCCGCCCTCCCCTCCTCTCGCCCGCCCTCCTTCCCGCCCTCCCCTCCCGGCGGGCCGGGGAGGGAGCGCGGCGGGCCCGAGGTGTCGGCCTCCCCCTCGCCTCCCGCCGGCCCGGCCTCGGGCTCCCCGCCCTTCTCCCCTCTTCCTCCCCGGCCCCCTCCTCCCCGCGCGCCGCGTCCCCCTCCCGCAAGCCCGCTCCCCGCCTCGGACTCGCTCTCCCCGACTTTCACGCGGGGCTCTTTCCGCGGGGATCCCCGGGACCCAGTCCCGCAGGGGTTCCAGGTTGCCGGCTTCCCCCGGCCGGCGGGTCGCGCGGGCTCCCCGCCGCGCTCCCGGCCACCTCCTGGCCCCGCCGAGCGGACTTGAGGAATGCCGCGTCCCCGCCCGGCCCCTCTCGAGGGCGCCCGGCCGTGCCTCCCCCGGCCCGAGCCCTGCTGGCGGGGGTGGCTCTCGGCTCCCCAGCCCGGCCCCGGCTCGGGGCTCCCGGGGGAGGCACGGGAACCGGATCTCGCGGCTCCCGGGCGGGGGCGGGGGCCGGGGCCTCGGACGCCGGGCTCCTACCTGCTCGGAGGTCCATGGGGCTGGGGGCCGGGCCGGCCGGGCGCGGCTCCTCTCCCGGAGGCTGGCGGAGTGGGAGGGCGAGCCGCGGCTCCGGCGAAGCTTTAATAATCCCATCCGCCAGGCCCACTCGCAGGTTTTTTTCGCTCGGTTTCGGGTTTTTTTTTTTTTTTTCGGTGGGGGACATTCTGCAAATTTTTTTTTTTTTTTTTTTTCTGACGTGTAAAGCTGTAACCACAAATTGTAGCGGCCCTCCCCGGGGTGGGGGGAGGAGGGGGGAGGAGGGAAGGGAGGGCTTCTGGGGCTCCTCTCCCTCCCACAACACCGAGGAGGGGTGAGGTGAGGCGAGGCTGCGGCGGTACCACCCTGGGCCTCCTGGGGGAGGGGGCGGGGAGGGCATCAGTCCGTCTGCAGACTCCCCGAGCTGGGGGAGTGAGTCGCCGGCTCCTTTTCTTCTCCGACGGCGTCGACCTGGGGTGCGGGGTCCCTGCGCTCACGCTACCTCCGACTCCTCATCTTTAACCTTCCCTCCCTTCCCCCTCCCCCTGAGTAAATGGAATGACACATTCTCCCAAATGCCAGCGAGCTGGCTTCGTAGCAAGTGATGGTGTTTTTCCTGCTGCCCTTTGTCTGGGCTGACCGCCCCCCTTGCCTATTGTCCCGCCGCCTGTCCCATTTCCAAAAGCCGGGGCTGAGTGAGGCGCTGGGGCTGGGGCAGGTGACTAACCGGCTCCCGAGGCCCCCTGGGGTGGGGGAGGCGGAGGGCACCGCGGGCCCACTGCCCAGCTCTAAGGAAAGTAGAGGGCGCTTGGCTGAGGGATTTTCCCTCAGGTTCACAGGGTTCTTCATTCTTCCCAGTGGCCGGGAGAGTGCCCATGGGTGGGGGAATGGTAGTTCATTAATCAGCACGAGGCACCAGACCAGTTTCAACAGCAGAGGCTGCACGGGTGACTCAGCGGGAATGCTCCCATTCAAGGCGATGGACTGACCAAGAGTCCCCATTTGTGAAATGCTTCCCCCTAAAGACTTCTGGTCTTCTCTCGCCTTTGGGGTTTGGGGTTGTTGGGGTTTTTCAGTGGCGGGGTAGGGGTGGTTTGGCTGCAGAGTGCTCCCCCTCTTTCCTTACCTCAGGCCTGGTTGGGGACTTGCTAGGCGGGATACCTGGGGGACCCCTAAGCCCAGACCCTCCCTAAAGGGTCTCCTTCCTGCCCTCTTTCTCCCCCTCCAGAGAGCCACCAGGGGGAGTGAAGAGGAAACGGCTCACGTCTGCGACTTGCAGACATCTCCTCTGGTGACTTCTTGGGGGGCAGTCCTTTGGTCTCCAAGGCCTGAGTGCTCTAGATCCAGACCACCAATTAAATCATTTGGTAATAAGTTGCTTCTGTTGCTTGTTTTTTTCAAAGTGGGTGAGGCAGTGGTGGGCCAGCCCTGGAAGGTGATTCCTCTCTCTGGAACAGCACCGGATTCTTCCCTCCATGCTCCTGTCCCAGCGCCCCCAGAGAAAGGAGGGCGCCCCGCCAACCCTGCCACAGCCCCCCCAGGCTGCAGGTCCGAGCCGGCCGGTGGTTAGGACCAGTGCTGGGTTCCCAGGGCAGCTCTTCCCTTTTCTGCACTGTGCGGGACTGAGGTGGGGGGGCGGGGGGGTGGGGAAGAAGTTTGTTTTCAATTACCTCACTGGAGTGGGACAGACTTTGTTGTTGGTTTTTTTTTTTCTTTCTTTCTTTCTTTTTTCTTTCTAAACAAGGAGAAAAATTGCTGGGAAAGGGGAGCTGGCCTGGGGTTGGGGACAGGGGGCTTTCTGGGGCATCAGTAGCAGCTCTGAGGAAACCTGCTGGGGGGGGGTTCCTTCTGAAAAGTGCTGGGGGGGCCTCTTCCCCCTCATCCCTCCACCCCAGCCAGAACTCTGGGGTTTCAATGACATTCTTGGCGTGTGAGCCCTGCGATCTTTTGATGCCCATGCCAAGGTCAAGAAGGCAGATGCCCAGTGGGAGACTGGCACTGAGGCCAGCCTGTAAGGTCCTCGAGCAGCCTTCTCTTTCAGAGGGAGGGAGCCCGGAAGGCCGGGGGTGGGGGGTGCAGTCCGTCCTTCTCCCCCGGTTTGCAGCCTGCTCCTTGTGGAGAGTGTGTGCACAGACAATGTGGTTTGGATTTGGCTGAGCCCCCTCAGCACCTTGTAAAGCACCTTGCTGAGTCAGGGAGAAAGCAGCCCCCACGCGGGAGAGGAGGAGGGGGCCGAGGGGGCCGGGAGGGAAAGGCAAAAGAGAGAAAGGGGAGCTGAAGGAGGGAGGTGGGGGCTGAGAGAAGAGGAGGGGAAAAAGAGAAGGGAAGGGCAGGAAAGAGGAGAGGCAAGGAGGCAAATAAATGGGTGGGAGTGGGAAGGAGGGGAGGAGGCAGGAGCCCAAGGAGGAAGAGGGACAGACTCTGCAGTGGAAGGGGAGAGGAGCTCACCATGCTGCGCGGCCCCCCTCCCCCTGCAAACATTCACCTCAGGAGTCCAGAAACTATTGGTTTGCAGGAACTGAGGTCGGGGCTCCGAAATGGGGACCCAGGCCAAGTGAGTGCAGGGACAACTGGCTTTACATACGCAGGCAGCCCTGCCCCCCCCCCCCAGCTTGATACAGTGACCCCACCCCCATGTTGGGGAAGTCACCTTCTCCCTCTGCCTCTTGTCTGGACTCATCCCTGCCCTCTCCCCTCACCCAGGGGCTGGCCAAGCCCCCCCCCCCCCATCTTCCCCACTGCCAAAGAGAAAATCAGCTCCATCTCCGAGCAGCCAGTGCCCCTCTGCCATGTCTGGGCAAAGGCTGCAGGCCAGGAGCTGCCAGTGGGTTGGGCTGGGGGCTGGGATAAAGACTGTGTCTTTCTGCTGCCAAATCCCAAATAGGGTGGGCTGGGGGCGGTGGGCGGGAGAAAGGAGAGGCAGAGCAGGACTAGCCCTTCCCGTGTTTCTGGGGGGTAGGGGCACAGGTGGCTGCCCTCTGGCTTCCAGCCCGGGGTCTCAGGCAGGTTCCCGCTCCCCTGTGGCTGGCGTTCTGGGACTACTGCTGAGGGCAGGCGGAGGTTAGAGACTCCCGCCCCCCTGAGCCCCAGAGCCATCTGTCTTGGTACAAGGTGCAGGCACTTTCCGAATCCCTGCTGGGGGCTAGCGGCAGGAGGACAGAGGGGACAAGGAAAACCCACCCGCCTTGCCTTTCTAGAGAAATTCCCTCTAGTGGGAATTTCATGGTCTTGTGACAAGGGGCCCTCATTTAAGATCAGAAGATGGAGAGGGCAGGAGAGTTCCGGCAGAAGGCGCAGCTTCAGGGTGGAAATGGAGCTGGATGGCAGGAGGGGCAGTGGCGATCGAAGGACGAGGCCCCCCACGCTGGCCCGGGCAGTTCCCTGCACTTGGCAGAGGGCCAGTCTGGGAGTTAGGCTGAGGGACTCCCAGTTGGCCCACGTGGCCTTGGGATAAGCCCATCACCTCTCCGTGGAATGGCTTATGACCCTCTATGCCCTCCTCCCCCACGGGATGGTGGGAGATCAGTAAGCTCATGAGAAGGACACTGCTTTGCTGCCCTGTGTGTCCTTTCAGACTGCAGGCCTTATCGTCCTCAGGGGGTGACAGGCCAGGCCCCAAGGGATGTGGCTGGGAGGTGGGTGGGGCTGGCGGTGGGTGATGCCCTCGCTTTCCTCACAGGGGGTGGGGGTGAGTCAGTGTTGGCTCAGGGACAGGCTAGACCCCGTCCCTTCCCTTTTCCTTCCCTCGCTATGCCCATAACCGGCATTCAAAGGAAAGCACTCCAAATACCCCCAAAACGCCATGTCCCACACAGCTGCAGGACTGGCATCGAAGGGGTTCTGGCCCAGAGGTTGTCATAGATTTCTGAACGAGGGAGGCCTCCAGTCCAGTCCTGGAGCAGGAGTGCGGTGGTGGAGAAGCCCACGGAGGTAAGGAAGGACACCCTCACTGATTCATGTGTGGGTTCACCAAGCAGCTCCCGTGGGGCCATGGGGATGAGGCATGGAGGCTGACCTGTGTGCAGGCGGGAGGGCAGGGGCCTGCCAGGGGCAGCAATGCCTGGCATCTCTTGGTGGCACTTTTACTCCTTTTAAAGCTCTAAAACTTAAATACTGAAAATAGTTTAAACATACTGAGCTCTCACCACCTGTTGGGTCCTGGGCTCAGGTTTTGGGGGGACAATATCATGTCATTCTTACAGTAAGCCTCTAGGATGGGAACTGGAATTTACCCATTTTATATGTGAGAACACTGAAGTCACTTGCCTAAGGTCACACAAGGACTGGAACCCAGCACTGTCTGCCCTTTTAACAACACTGCTCAGATGCTAACATTCCCTCCCTACCCTCCCCGCACAGGGGAAGAGGCTGGGTTCCGAGTGCCTGGGGTTGGGGGGAGACCGCAGGACTTGCCACTGAGAGGATCCCTGGGACAGAAAGAGACCCGGAGACCTGGGCTCTCACGCCCTACACGCCAGCCACTGCTGACACCAACAGACAGTGTGCTGCTGGGCCAGGCACCTGCCTGGGGCCCTCCGGGTTTGGTGAGACTCAGCCCCCCCGAAGCTCTCCATTCCCCTCATCTAGAATTACAGACTCCACGAGCAGCCAAGTGGGTCTGAACCGTGGACTGAGGGCTGGACTGGGTGATAGGTACCCACCGCCCACAGCCGGGCGGAGGGCTCTCCCAGGCTTCCAAGCCCCCCAACCCGTCCTCCTGCAGCGTGAGGGCTAGGTAGGCTCAGAGGCCCTGCCTGGGCTGCCAGAGGCCAGAGGGGGCTCCCCGGGATCGCATCCCTGAGGCGGCCGCCTCTCCATCCCCGTGTGCGTGCTCCACGGAGAGCAGGCCTTGGGGGCCGCCAAGGGCAGGAGGGGGAAGGGAGGCTGCAGGGCTGTCCACTTTCCCTTTCCCTCTAGTGGGCAGGAGCCCAGAGGGCCCTGCCTCGCCCTGAGCTGGTAGTGATGTCAGCGGAAACCCTGGGCGCCGAGGACCTCCTCCTACCTCAGCCCCGGCCCTACCCTGCCCTGGGTCCCCCACCCACACCTGGACTGGTTCAGCTTCCCCGGGGAACACCGCGCCCACCTGCCCCCTGCTTTCCTGCGGGGCTGAGAGGAACCTGGTCCTGCTGCCTGCCTCTCCCCTGACCTGCCTAGGCTCCATCTCCCCATCTGCAAGGATGTCTGGGTGATGAGAGCATGAGGAAGGCAGGGGCAAAGGGGTACCCCCAGATGCTCAACTCCTCCCTTGCCTGCCAGGAGTTTCCCCTCAATTCTCCCAGGATGTTCCATTGCCCTGGCCAACCCATGCCTCAGGCTCTGTGACTCTGTCTCCCCTGGCAGAGGAGTGGGGTTACCTCTCCCT